ACTCTTAGAACCACTCCTTCTCAATTTACAAAATCAAAATTCAAGGATAGACAGATATCTCTATGGTCCTCATAGTCCTAAATGTCTAATGTTTCTATTTGCTGGAAATTTTGTATTAAAATTTGGATTACTGACAAGATTCCAACTCTCTCACTATATCAACTTCAGAGGCAGCTGGACAATGACTATGAAAATAAAATCCTCTTTCTATTTAAAATAGACTGGCCTCAAAAATTATTATATTTCACTCTTGAATATGTAGTTAATATGGCATAAGGATATGATACTTAACATCTATATGATATATTCAATATCTACCGATAATAAATGAAGTAACATATGAAGATAAATGTAAGTTCTTTTCCTAACCATGTACCTGATAATATTCATCACTAGTTATAGAATTTATTTCATTACTTCCATGTCAGATGGTATGTAGAGGAAGGTCAGGTGGATGAGAAAAAATAAATTACATTGCTTTTCAATTTTTGCAGGTGCAGTTAATTCATACAGTTGCTCAAATTCTGTATTTAGTATGAATCCAGAAGCTAAGATGTATTTCTTCTTTCTGACATATTTTGTACTAAAGATAATTTGAAATGAGGAACAAAATACATAAAATGGAAGAGGCAGTTTTACAGAATGAACCTTCTTAATTATCCTATATTTTATTTCAAAGGGAAGAATGGTTTCTTTTATGATGTCTTCTGAGTATTTGACTCTAATTGTGCTCATGATTCCAATGTCAGTACCTATTCAAGAAGTTTTATTGCCTCATTATCAATATCAAAACAGGACAGTAATTAATATTAAAATTTAGTTACCAAGCTACTGTCATGAACTTTAGAACTTATTGTATGCTACACTTAGTTATGGCAGTTGCTTTGTCCTCTTTTTTGAAATAGAGCATTTTATAACCTTGTGCTTAATAACAGCCTTCTTTGTGAGCACCTGATCTTTTATCCCACGATTCTCCCACAGCTCAGCATATAAATCTTTTCCATTGCTTAGAGATATAAATCTTAACACCATCAGATTTTTATGCCTTGTGCTAACATGTTTGTGGAGATACCTTTAAGCTTGGTTAACAATTACCAGCTAAAGATGTTGTTACAATTGTGTAGTATGTTTTAACATGTACAAGTACAATCCATGAATACTGATTAAACATTAATGAACACTCAAAATGTATGTTTATACATATGTGTATATATGTACATATACAAATATATTAAAACCTACATATGATTATATATAAACAACTTGGGAAAACTTTCCTGAAGCTTTGTAACTTTCCTATGCTTATAAAAGCAACATTTTGTCCAAAATATTTTGTGGTAGAAATTTGGAAACTCAAAATAATACAGAAATATATACTATACATGTAAATTATAATTTCTCTACTTAAAATATGTACCAGTGTTTATATCTTCCAATGTTTACTCAATGCAATCATGCAAACATTTTCCAAAAATATTGAAATAGTAGCAATATGTATATTTTATCACATTCATGTACCATAATTTACTTAAACCATCACCTACTGACTTAATGTTGTTTCCATTATATTACTGTTAAAAATAACCCTATGAACAGGGGAAAATGTTATATACAGCCTTCAGCAACAAAATAAATTGAAATGTTAAAATGCTCAGGGAGGAAAATCTGCTTTTCTAACATTTCAAAAGAAATTTCATTGATTACTGTATGTTCAGTACATGTAGTTATTTTACATACTGAAAATTTTCATATGGCACACATTTCACAATTATTCTTGTGATTATTGCCTTCCCTGCTAAAATTCCTAAAGGCAAAGATTCCACTCTACTCATTTCTAAATGCCTTCCAATGTGTTCCTGTTCAACTTAATTGGAATTTAATTGAAACATTACAGTTTAGGTGTTGGATAAATTATACAATTTTAGATTGCTTTGACTGAAGATGGTGTCCAAAGTCAGGAAACTGAATTTAAAGTATCAGTCATATAAAGGTAGTTCTAGCAAAAAAAACCTGACAATATAAGACTTGGAAATGAGATTTATTAGAGTTGTGATTATCAGGCTTCAAATTTTTTAAAACTGTCATATAGAAAAAATACTCAATTTCTTATGTGTTTCAAGATTCAAAACATATTTTAACTGGAGGAAGTCACAAGACTTCCATAAATTGTTAACACCTTTGCCCCTGAGAAAGATTGCTGCCATACTAAGGAAAACATTATCAGCTTCTGGAAGTAGCAAATCTTATAGTAAGCAGGAGGTTATGTTAAATGGCCTCCATAATCCCTCTCCTGTCTATATTATAATGATTCTAACACATAATTGAGTCATTTCTAAAAGCCGTGGGGAAATTTAATACATGACCAATTGTTTTATATTCTAATCATAAGGAGTAGGTTATGAGAATAGTTATTATTTTCTTATATATAATGACTACAACCTTGTATTTACAGGGTCAGTGTACAGTTGTTTTCTTATTTCTCTATCCCAAAAGAAATGAAATAGTAATTTCAATTATAATGTTGTAGTGATGAGAGTATAGAACAATTATTGATCCATGCCTTACTGTTGGTCTATTAAAAATTAATATTTTCTTCTTTTCATAAGATTTACTATATTCTTAAATGCAGTTTCATATATATTATGGTGTCATTTCCCTTTACTATACCCTCCATAGGCATATCTATCCAATTTCTTAATACTTACCAATAAGAAAATATTACTAATATATGTAGGAAATAATTTCAAAACTAATGTTTAGTAGCAAAGATTAGATATAACTGTAAAAGGAATAGTTTTATAATTTCAGAATCTGTATTCTGCTGCTTGTACATTCAAAATTAGATAATCTCCTAATCTGAAAGTATTCTCTTCTAGGAGTCATTGTATGCAAAGAAAAGTGTGCTCATAATTAAAAAAAATTACAATAAAATGCTCTTGGAATCCAAATATGAATTACATTTTCTTTTTAACTACAAGTGAATTAAATTTGTTCATGTAATGGTCACTTTGTGTTGGATGCAAGTATGTTGTTTGTATTTTAAGCATTAAAAAAAACAGTTGCTTTCTCTTTTTATGTATCTTATTATGGCACTATATAATTCAAGTTGCTTGAGGCTCAGTGATTGATTCTGAATGACTATGAAAATCTTAGAGAAGATAAACTGGGTGCTTCATACATGTAACAATTAAGTATCTCTTAGTGTCCTTTTATTGGTAGCCTAAATAGTTTATCAAAATAGAAATTCCTCCCCCTTCACCTATGTAAAGCTGTGGTTTGTATAAAGGATAGCATTTTACCAATATGTATGTCAAAGCGATTTTTACATGGGGTACCATGGCAAAGGAATTCATCTCTTCACTGCTAATTGCCAATTTGGAAACGAAAATAACAAAACCCTGAGGCTTCTATCATTTCTTCCCTTTGAAGGGATCAGTCATCATTGGATGAGGCAGGGAGATTATTCTAAACCCTTCCCATATCTCTTGAACTTCAGAAAAATCAATAAAACTAATCTTGACCCCAGCCAGATTATTGGCCCTGTGCTTGTAACTTAAAGCCGATCCAATGCAGGCCTTTTGTTGTTTCCTTGGAAACAGATCTTCCAAATAAGTTGGATTACCAGAAGGGTAGTGTTTAATAACCCAAAGGTCACTTTATGGCCATAATATGAAGAATATTGTGAGTCAAATAATATGAAGAATATTGTGAGTCAAATGTATATTATATTATATAAAATATGAGGAATATTGTGAGTCATTATACAACTTCTCAATGCTGTGTATTGAGATGATGACTGTCCATGATTTGTGTCACAATCCATATTATTCCAGAGGCTGATGAACTATGTCACCCCCCCCCAAAAAAAAAACAAACTATGAATGGAAAATGAAATTGATTACAAACTGAATCTCCAATGATGAATTTGGAACCTCAAATATTGGAATATATTTACTAATTTAAAACAGGAGTATTATTCTTAGCATTTGAGTAATGTTGATCATACAAACATGTATGAAATAATACTTTGTTTTAACCTTATATAGTAATTTGAAAATGCATTACATGTATTTGATTAAAAATAATTTATAACTATTTAAAAGTATATGACAAAATATTCATTTTACATGATAATCAAAACTTTTTATAAACCATTTTTATTTTATATTTTTTGGTTTTATACATTTGCTTATATCCAGGTATTATTTTTATTTTTAGTATAGTTTTTCATTAGTTTATTATAGTTATATATAATGTTGGGGTTCATTTTACCATAAGCATACAAGCATGGAATATAATTTGCTTCACTTTAGTCCCTAGTAATTCCTTTTTCTTCCCCTCCTCTTGTCCCCTATTCCCTTTCCTCTTCTCCATTGGTCATTATTCTATTTATTTATAGCTTTTTTAAAATTAGGTTACACACACACACACACATACACACACACATATATGTATTTTAAAATTAGGTGAATATATATATATATATATATATATATATATATATATGAAATTCACTACAGTTTATTCATATATGTGTATAGGATAGTTTGGCCAATTTAATTCCACCAGTATTTTCATTTTAAATTATTAATAATCTATTAGTAAACATCTGCAGTCTGCCACATGTTGGAATTTGCATCCAGATACTTGAGTAAAATTTCTGTAAATGTAAACACTTTAAAACAATGTGGCATTATATATCAGAATAGCACCCTAAATTTTTCTCCTTTGCCCCTTTATTTCATATACTTTGACCAATAAATTTAAGAGGCTCTAAATTTGCTTCTGGTTTTGAGATTTCCTTGCTTTGTTATTTTAGTCAACATAACGAAAATCAGATAAAACAATTTGATTTGGGTTCAATATGGTGCTATTTTGATCTGAAGGTCAATCTACCAACAAGCAGGAACAGTTTCTCATTATTTTCCTTCACTACTCCAAGCAGTCTTTACTGAAGTCTTTCAAGCAATGTCTGACCTCTGTTTCAATACTTCTCACAGATTTCACAGACTGTCACCACCACTCAGCCATCACTAACACAGACAACTGTAATGGAAACGGTAACTATGGTGACCACAAGGGAACAAATCCTGGTAAAGCACGCCCAAGAGGAACTTCCACCACCACCTCCCCAAAAGAAGAGGCAGATCATTGTGGATTCTGAAATTAGGAAAAGGTGAGAGAGCATTTCATTCATGGCTTTACTCTCAGATGAAGATTCATTGTTAAGCATGAAAACTCATTTTACAGCTGTTTTGATGGTGGTATTTTTGCTTAAACAGCATTTCTAAGTCGTCTTTGCCTATAATGCCAGTTAATTCAGAGAGAAGAATAATGAAGTAAGTTTTAAAATTTACCCAAGAAATCACTATCCCAACAATAACTGAATGCTTAATGAAAACGCTGTTTTCTGAATTAAAAGAAGAAACCACAGGCAACATACTGCAATGGATACATTTTAATCCTGAAAGTGTCATTTTTTTCTTATAAAGGGACTGCCTGTTCAGTCCTTAGTTTTGCAATAAGTTGTCTTTCTTGCAGTAATAGAAAGTGCATTTTCATGAAGAAGTATACCTCTAATAGATGAGATCCATTCTGCTAGTTTATGAGAACATAATGTCTCAAGCTGCACATCCTAAATCAGGAGTAATTACAGAACAGATTTCCTGTTCTTTGATATTTATAAAGTCTTATCTTGAAGGTGCTAGAATTTTTAACTGATCTTTTTGTGGATATTTTCAAGTAGATATTTTAGATAAGTTAGGTATTATGTAAATCTGTGGATATATTAAAATGATGGCAATAAAATTTCATAAAAGCAAAGCTAGCATGAAAATCATAAAAATGGTACAATTTTCATTTTATTCCAGTTATTGTAATTCTAAGATGAAGAAAGAACATTGAAATATGCTTCATTTTTCTAAGCAGCATATGTTCAGGAACGCATGGAACACTTGACATTAGAATTTTCGTATACCAGGGAGTAGAAGTATGGGAAGAACACATAACTAAAAATAGTGTGTCAGATGTTCTAAGCAAAGAAAAAGAAACATCTAGAAAAGTTATTTGAATGTGTTATTTAGGACTCCTCCATTTATTCATAACTTATTACCTCCTACTTCAAAGTAAATCATTGGGCCTTGTCTTCCTTGGTAGTGTCTGCTTGATGGAACAAATTCTGTAGTCCAAGGGTCAGCAAACTAAGGCCTGCAGGCCAAATCTAGCCTATAGATTTTGTATGGATCATGAGCTAATAATTGGTTTTACATTTTTAAATTGCTGAAAATAACCAAGAGAAAAATATATTTTGTGATATTTTCACATAATTATGTAATATTTCAATGTCTATAAGTGAAAATTCCGTGGAACACAGCTGTACTTATTCAAACATGTTCTATCTGTGGTTGTTTTCACATTACAAAGTAGTGTTGGAAGAACTGTAACAAATTGTACAGTCCAGAGAGCCTAACATATTTACTGTCTGACCCATCATTAAAAAAAAAAAATTGTTGGTCCTTGCTATAGTCAAATAGTTCTCAAACTGAATGTTATCATTCAGTTTTGGGCAACGAATTCCATGTACTGTACTCATGATGGTAGTTTAAATGTTAATGGTTATTGGTGGAGGAAAAAACAATAATGGCACAAACAAATCAGTAAAGCTCTTACTGAATTAATTCTAGTAGGATATACATTCATTTATTTAACATCAAATTAAATACTTGTCTATAGACAATGCTTAGTTTGAACATGGATTTATGGATATTTTGTAAGAATTCAACAACTTTCCAATAGTTCTTCAAACTGAGTAAAACCTAGATGCCTACTCCTCTGAATGCCTTCAGAGATTGCCTCATACAGAAAGCAACAAAGCAAGTTGACCCATGTCAGTCTGTTTTCCAAAGGCTTACTCTTAGCTCGTGTTTTGACAATTTATTTGGTTACAAATGTTTATTTTGACTTGTTTTGTTTTCAGGACATTTGCTAGTTGTGAAATACTTTGTCTCCTAAATTCTTTTTGTGTCATATATTCTTAGTAGTTATTGTAATTGCTAGAATTAGAGGTCCAATTTGGAATATAAAGATTCCTTAAATAAAAACTAATACTTTGGAGGACTCATAGTGTGCTCAGCACTAGATTCAATGATTTAAGTTCATAGCATTTATTCTACCCAATAACCCAATATACACATGGCTATTATTAATTTACAGACAACTATAGAGTACCTGAGCTAAAATTTCAATTATGGTGGCTGGGCTACAGAGTCTGAATTGTGTAATAAAATAAATCTTTATTATGTATATGACTCAGGTGATCTTATTTCTTGGTTTGCCTTGAAGCTACCTAATTATACCTATTGTCCCAAGGTAGTTTTATTTAACACTAACTTTCAAATGTGTCCTGTTTTAGACAGCATAATCATATGGATATTCTATCTATGACTCTAGATTGATGTATTAGACTGAATAAAGAGAGCTAACATTTAGAAATTATTAACTTCAGTAATTGCTAATTGTCTATAGGATGGAATCTGGTTAAAATACTGTAACAGTTAAAAAGGCAACATGGAAAATGACATCTTATGTTAGCCAGTATCCTGCTCTCATTTCATGTGAGAACCACTAGCATTTCATTGTGAATACCATAATTTTGACAATTTATTAAATTCATTTCTTTAAAAAATCATGTCATCTTTCAGTTGCTATGACACACCAGTCATCCCCTTACCACGCTTCACTTGACTTGTTTTTCTCTCTACCTTATTCATATTGGAGTATTTCATAAATCCTTCTTTTTTCCCTTCTGACTTCTTTATCTGAATAATCTCCTTTCATTGAGTCAAGTCTGGTTCTAAGTGACTGACTCTCATATCATAAAACTTTACATTGACTGTCTCCCTCAAATTTCAGCTTTAGAGTTCGAAAGTTATGATTTGGGTATTACCATTTCTACACACAGGGGTTACCTCCATTTTAGATTTTTATTGCCCCAAATTAACCATATACACTTGTACGTTGCACACATATTTTAGTTATAATTCATACCCTTGGTATCTAAAGAAGTAGCAAATATTGGAAAAATCATGTCCTTTGGAATCAAAATTACTCAGGTTTGAAATTTGCCTGTTTAATAACTAGTTTGTGATCTTAGGAAAATTACTTAAGGTCATGCTTCAGATTCAATATTCTCACTTTATAAAAACACTGAGGATTAAGTATGAATCATTAGATATGGTGGCTATAACAAAATATGCATTCAAAAAATGCAGTATCTTCTGGTTATTTAGTTATGGTAGGAGTGGAGGAGATGGTGAAATTAGTATATGTGGAAGTGATGGTGGTGAAACTATAGGTACTAGAGGTGATGATAATGGAGTTTGTGTTGGAGATGGTGAATATGTAGAATTGGTGAAAAGAATCCCATAGTAAACATTATCTCAAACTGTGTTAGCTTTTCATTTCTGTGACCAAAATATCTGACAAGAGCAATTTACAGGAGGAATATTTATTTTGCCCCATGGTTTCAGAAGTCTCAGTCCATGGTTGGTGGAGTCCATGACAGAAACATCATGATGTAAGGGCATGAAAGAGAAACGCTGCTCTTCTCATGGCAACCAGAGGCAGATATCACACACACACACACACACACACACACACACACACACACACACACACGCCAGGGATAGTCCACTAAGGCCTGCCTGGCGACCTAATTCCTTCAGCTGTGCCCCATCTGCCTACAGTTATTACATAGTTGAACATTCAACTTATTAATCCATCAAATGGATTAATCCACTGATGAGTTTCAAGCTTTCAAATTTATTCATTTCCTAAAAGTCTCACCTCTGAACCTGGCTGAAATGGGGACCATGTTTTCAACATGAGCTTTGGGTGACATTCAAGATCAATACCATAACACAAACTTTAAAAATATATCAAATACCTTCTAGTTTTCTTCTTCATATTGGAATATATCACCAAGTTTTCCAGTTCCATTGACCCCTTTCTCTTCTTACTTATTATTATTATACCATATTATTGGGCAGGTGCCATCATTTCAGTTATTTTTCTGATCATAATGAGTGCCTAACTCTATAACATAAGCCATTTACCTCATTATGGTAAGGCTTCTCCCCCTTTCTAATTAATCTCCATACAATTAATTTATCTAACAATATTGCCTTTATGCTGTCCCTTCAGATATGAAATGCCCATATTTTAATTACCTCCAAAACATCACAAAAAACACAAAACAAGTTTATGTCTAGCTTCTCCAAGAGCTTTTCACTTCTGCTAGTACATTATGTTCCGTTCATTTTGGTATATGCTTTAATGACATTCACACAAAATCTCCCAACACCAATTACAATATAGAAATCCTGTTATTATACTTATTTATATTTTACTTAAACTTTATTATAGTTAGTACCACACATGCAATAAATAACCAGTAAATATTTGTTGAAAGAGTGAATGGCACAGTTCAACTAATTAAAGTAACTATTATTTAACATTCCAGTACAATTTAAGAATTTTATGTAGCTTTTCATGAAATTTTTAAAATAAAGGCATGATCATTCTAATATTCTTTAATAATTATAATTTTACCCATTAGGATATCATTATTTAATCAAAACTATTAAGGGATTTAGAATGCAGCTTTGTACTATAGTTTCTTAATTATCTAGGGTACATTTACTTGATTCCTTAATAATTATATTGTTTCTACAAATGCAGTATTTATTGTATAAATTGTGCTCTTTTTTACTAAGAATTACAAACATCTTTGATTTGGGGTCACAAAGTAATGATTTCTAACATTAAATTATCCTATAGTTCAGTGTAATTATATAGGTAATTATCAGTGTATGGAACTCAGACTATATTAAAAATAGATCTATTATCTGGTTAACAGGCATTTATCCAGGAGATTAGTTCATAATCATGCGGTAGTTATTTTTTAGAGATTTTTCACAAAAAACTTCATTTACATTTTTGTACTAACCAGGTGAAACCTATGGCAAATTAAATAGATTTTTAAAAATAAATGCCAGTTCAAGAAATAATTTCCCCAAGTGTTAATAAATGAGCATCTTTGACCTCAAGGATATTCCTGAAGCATTTAGAAATACCTAAATTCTCCTCATGTGTTTTTCTCATCTCCAGAATAAGCAG